TATATATTAAATTGGGTTGTTTAAGTCCTTTGGGTATTAACGAACCGTTACGCTTTTGATAATTTTTGAATAACTTTCTTGTATTACCTTAAAATGTTTAAGTTATTTCTTTCTTTGCTATGTAAAGTTGTTCTGTACTCCTAATAATTTTTAATATTGTTTTGTAATCACCATCTTTATTATATTGTTTAATTCTGGTAGTTCTATCTCGCGTTACATTCTGGTTCTCATGTATTGTTTCATTTCAAAACGTTCCTGTAATTGTCATTAATCGATAGGCTTGTTGTTGGCTTGAAAAAGAGCGTTTGCTCAAAATGGCGCCAAGTAAATAAGTTATTACCGTAGTTTTTAAAGGTGACTTTTTTTATATATTTAACACAATACTGTGCAGGTCGTGTGTGTGAACCAATGAACAATTATGTCGTTATATGCCAGAACCATCAACCATTATGTTTTTCTAATGAACAATTTCGTGTTCTCGTTACCTCCTACGCAGGTTTTACTTCCTAGCGTAAATTGTGTTCTCAATGTTTTCATATATGAAAGGAGAGTAAGCGTTACTTGTGAAATCTGTCCTTTATTTTATCATAATTAGAGCGGTAGCCAAAATTCGCTAGAGGGCGCCACTGCAAATCAACTCCAGACATCGGGTGTATATACTTTATATCTGTACATGTTATCAAATGAGAATTAAACTCTTTGTATTTGGGACAGGAATTCATCATTGTGTCGGAAACGAAGTTGTTGAAAAGTAATGAGCACAGGTAGGGATGGGTAAGTGGGTGGTGTGATCGCACCTTCTGAATTGTGTACACATTCAAAACTACATTGCAATTAAGGTAGTGAAATAAGATTTTGTTAAAAGAATTTTGTCCTCGAACTGTAAAAGCAGAAGTTACCTTCAACTATTTCCTGGAGCCTCTGCATATACACAGCGTGGTCACAAGTAAATAGACACCACCTTTTCAGAAAAAAAATAAAATTTTCAGTCATATTCACATGAACTGATATATCTATAATTTAATTAATATCTAGTATATCTCCC